TGAAACTGATAAAATGTCCAGTGAGAGGGTGAAAATGCTTTCTTGCCAGAGGCCAGAGGAGTAAACCAGACTGGTATGAGATGATAGGAAGGCAGCAGCAATGCAAATAATGCAAATAAAGCAGATGTGCAAAGATCACACCGGGTGCCACTCCTGTCAGATAAGAACAGGAATGTTAGACTCCGTGTCACACAGGCTCACAGAAGAAGGTCGGAAAAATCCCGTCTTGTCTGACGAGTCTTGATTTCAGCTGCAACATTCAGATAGTGGGGTCAGAACTGAGCATAGACAACATGAAAACCTTGATCTTTCATTTTGGTTTCAATGGTTCAGGCTGATGGTGGCAGCATGATGGTGTAGGGGATACTTCTCAGTACACTTCAGAGCCCTTTGGACCAGACGACCTTCATTTAAACACCACACCTGGGAATAGTTGCTGACGTGTCTGTCCCTGTACGACCACAGTGGGCCCATGTTTTTATGGCTGCCTCCTTCAGGGTAATAAGCCGTGTGACAAAGCTGAGATAATCTCAGACTGCTTTCTTGAACATGACACTTAAACGGCCTCCACAGCCACCAGTTCTCAATCCAGCAGAGCGCCTTTACGATGTGGTAGAACAGGAGATTCACGTCATGGATGCGGAGCTGCAAAACCTGGTATGGATGTATAATCATATTAAAAAATATTTTCCCAGAATATTAAAAACGAATCCCGTGACTCAGTAGGTATGACACAATCCAAAGTACACCAGCTTCTAATTTGGTACAAATATGCAGTGAGTCGGCTGTTAGGCGACATGCCTGAGCAAATGAAAACATGTTCTCACACTGTTGCATATCTCTGTGAGCACGTGTGTGTTTTTAAGAGCTGCATTTTGTCAGTAGAAGTAAAAGTAAAATGTCGTCAGTTCTGAAATTCATGTTACACAACGTTACGCCGGTCCACAACACCGGCGTAACATATGCAGCGCTTTTTGTTTGTGCTGCTTTACCTTTGAAGTCCAGTATTTCTGAGTCATCCTTCCTGCTTTGGTTACACTGTGAGTCACTATTTTTACCGCTGTCACACACTCGGTGGTCACACAGTCCTCCTTGGGGGTTTTTTTGTTTTCAACAGACAGTTTGCAGAAGTGCTCCAACAAAATGTGCTTTCACTCCTCTACACTAGTTGTTCAAGTCTGCAGACATGTGGATTCATTCATAAGTATCTTCCACCAGAGCTGCGACATTAGATAAAGTTATGATGCTTTGAAAAGGAATTTAAAAGGTTTTTACACGAAGCTTATTCTGGGTGTGCCAGCTGAGACAGAGTCAAAGAGAATTATGTGCTTTATCACTACAATGCTTCCAACCTTGCAGTTTAAGCCGTTCACAGCCGTACACTCGCAGTAAGTCAGTCATTAGAAAGTAAAGAGAAGCACCACACGAGCATTAAGTACCAAATATTTTCAGATGAATCCTGAGGAAGTCAGAGTGAAGAAGATGATGTTTCTGCATTATTTCTCTTGGTTATAAAGGACGTTAACAATGCAAATATCTGTGTGTGTGTGTGTGTGTGTGTGTGTGTGTGTGTGTGTGTGTGTGTGTGTGTGTGTGTGTGTGTTTCTGTCAGTAATATAAATATATGAAATACATTAACAGTTAATTAAACAGGTGATGAAACAGCTCAGCATTGTCATTATGATGTGCGTCACATATTGTTGTGTCAGTTGTGGCCCCTGATACTCGAGTAGTTTGTGCCATTAGCGTTACTCCTGTGTGACAGGCTCACGTTCATGACAGATGCTCGGACGCATTACTAGAAGTGAAAGTTAGCGCGCGGTCAACACGACAGTCTGTGTCGGTTTTTCAAATGCAGAAGCTCCACAAAACCAAACAGAGCTGAAACTCCTCACATGTGATGTTGGTATTGCTTGTTGTAGAGCTTTCTCTGAATAGTCACCTTTTATATAGACGCTGTGAGATTTTTCTAGTATTTGTGTCCAGCTACACAAATGTGTAATTAACACAGGCGCTTTCATTTTTGTGTTTCCCAGCAGCAGCTCTTAAAGTAACAATCACTGATTCAGTGTGATGCCAAGCATGTGTTTGTATGTGTGTGTTTTGGGCACGGCAGATCTTCACCTGAGCTCGAAAATCCTGTTTGTGACGTTGTATTCGTAGGAGTCTGAAGCTGTAAGTGTGTGCATGACACTGAACTCTTCCCCAATAGTTGCTGCTACTCGTGGGTAATGTGAGGCCTGACTTGTGACAACACATGGGTTTGCATTTGCATTCAAACAGTGTAAATATGCTTGAAGGCGGGGATACTATATCCAATATTTGCACATTTCACAAACAGATATGATTTATAGAGGCCCTAGTTTCTCCAAAGACACTGAAATTCCTCCGTCCTTTCCAAACCTGTCATAAACTTTGGAAAACAGCAAGAGACAGAGTGCAAGACAGAGAGCTGGAGGTGGTCAAACGTTCATAGGTCATTTGGTTTGTTGAGCACTGTGTTGTCCAGATCCCAGCAGACACGACAGCCACATGTGTGTAAAGTGGAAATGTTCATTCATTTAAGACACATCTTTAACTTAAGCCAAAAATAAAAGGAAAAGATCAGCAGTGGGCATCAACAAAAGCACTCTGCTAACACATTATAATAAAAATCTCTACACCTTTTGAGGGGACAGCAAAATAATTGGGTTCCTCAGCATTACACAAAAACCTGAACATTGCAAACTAAGTTGCCATACTTGGTTAGTTTGTCCTTTGTGTTTGAAATAGAGTCTTAAATAACCTCAGGCAGGCTGTGGCCTTTAAATGATGCTCAGTTGGTACCAAAGGGACCAAGTGTGCTAAAAAAAATCATTACATCACCAGCAGTAGCCTGAACCGTTGATACAAGGCGAGATGGATCCATGCTTTCATGTTTTGTTTTGTTTCATTCATCAACCAAATGTTGCAGCAGAAATTGAGCCTCGTGGGAGCATTTTTCCAGTTTTCTGAACCATAGCCTCAGTTTCCTGTTCGTAGATGACAAAAGTGACACGGGCATTGTCTTTTGCTGCTGCAGCTCATCTGCTTCAAAGTTCAACATGCTGTGCATTCAGACTTCACTCTTCTGCATACCTTTGTGGTTATTTGAGTTACTGTTGCGTTCCTATCAGCTAAAGCAGCCTGGCTATGCTCCTGTGACCGCTGGCATCAACGAGGGATTTTCTCTCAGGTAACGGGCCAGTTTCAAAGATGGTTGTGTCGGGAGAATCCCAGAAGATCAACAGTTTCTAAAATATCAGATGTTTGGCACCAACAACTCGGCCACTTCCAAAGTCACCTTTCTTCCTACAAGTGTAGATGCACTGAGTTGCTGCCATACGATGTAATTTGCACTTACTTGCAGTCAGACAGATGTATTTAATAAAGTATGTTGAGGTTCTCTGGATGTGAGAACCATATAAAGTGAATACATGACAAACTTTTTATTTTTATCTTTTGCTGATTTATGCTGAATAAGTCTGTAATCTGATTGAATTTTGAAGCTGGCCTTCATATGCGATATGAGTCCTTATTTTTAGAGCAAAAGGGATGATTTATGCAACATTTCCCATCTGTGCCTACATCTGTTTGCCCTAACATTTAGAATAAACCAAAAGACGGCATTTCTGAACATATGTGAAATTTAATTGGCTTTTCAAGAAGGCATAATTACAGCACAGCTGTAGAAAAAGACGGCCACACAACGCAGTTAACAGTTCAGGTTTTTCAGAAGGTTGAACCAGCGTGCCAGTCAGCAGGAATTACAGATCTGCAGAGGCCTCTGCTTTGGTCATACAATGTGCGCTGCCATGCAGCATCATGTACATGCAAACCACATGACCCGAGTCAACCCATATCTCAACAACTGAAACGAAACTGGATGTCATTTACAACCAGGCTATACATGTACCTGTTCTGCTTCTGCACAGGGCAATACATTCAGACCGCCGTGTGAGGTTTAAAAAGTTTGAAAGGATGTTAATGCAGTAACACAGTACATCCGGCTTGTGGAAAAATAAAACTGGCTGTGGGTTTGTGGTTGCTAAGAGTAAACAAAAGGCTTTCGTTTCAAGCATGTTGATTGTTGTAAATTAGAGGGAGACCTGACACTTAAACAGGGCTTTTGGGGAGAACAAGAACGACGTCTATGATACGCAGTATCGAGTGTTTACTTTGGAAAGAAAGGAATTTACATCTATATGGACCGAAATCTAGAGAGTGGGTTTGAATAGTTCGCTCTTATACCTGCATTTAATGATTATTATTAACTGCCTAAATCTATACTTAATTCATATTGTCCAATTTTTACAGTGCGATCCACACAGGGTTTACTTATTTTTATCAGACTCGTTGCCCAATAATATAATTGACTGGAAGCGTTTAGTGCTTGAGGCCCATTAAATAGCCTAAATCATCCCAAAGTGCTCTCAAGCTGCAGTACTTCATTACAGACGGTCCTTTTAGTGCTTCTTCTTGGTGCAATCAATTCTGCAAAGGTTTATAGTATTATAATCAGTCATCACTTAGCATTGATCATCAGAGTTAAAATCTATAGACACTTAGCTTCAGTCGAACTGGATTTTCAGGCATTGCATGGCTTGTTTTGACTGGTGTGGGTGCCAAATGGGTGGTGTGTGCAACATTTAACAAGACTACAGTCTAGAGACGAGCTGAAAAGTCTGCAGCAAAACTTTATGACAAACTGATGGTTGTTAAGAGACTTAGGCTATTTTCCACCATTAGTCCTCTGGAAATGAAGATAAAGCAAAAAACAACAAAAAACTGACCAACCAATCAACTAATATTTCCACGAGCCTGCTGTTATGGCTGAAAATATAGGAAATACTGAAAGATATAAAAATGTATATATTTTCCATATTCTTCTGGAATTAACTTAAGGTTTCTATATCATGTCATAAAAGAAATATTGTACACATTCTTATATTTGCTTATTTTAAAAAAAGGATGTCCTTAGATATTTAAAAAGACATTAAAGTTTTATGGCTTTAAAAGTCCAAAACTACACAGGAACACAGGTCACCTCAGCCTAACAAACAAACCACAGAAGGTGTAAACGGCTCCACTAACTTGTCTCTCAATTTACAATTTTAATGACGTCCTTTACAACATACATGGCATAAATACTTTACAACCAAAGAAAAGTCATTTGAGCCCAGTCAGTGGTTTAGATTTGACCAGGAAGTTTTCCTAATCAGCCTGCAGCCTGCAGCGCTTGTGTTCGCAAAGGGAGGTACAGTCTATTCAGTCGTATCGTCTTCAGGTCCTGAGGGCCTACTGTATGCCAAACCTCCAGCTGGAATCCAGTGTGTTGCAACATCATTTTACAGCTCTTTTACTGGTGACCAGCTGTTTCATCAGAGCAGCATCAGCCACTCAGCAAGCTGAAGCGGATGTTTGAATAAAGAAAAGTTACACAACAAGTCTGCCTGCGTGATTTGCTGCAGGTCATAGTTTTGCACAGGTGAACTGAAAAAAGGAGACAGACTGTCCACCAGAGGCCAAACTACTCAACAAGAAGTGACTGAAATTCTCACACCAAGTACATATTTTCTGCACAGTATAGTTTCAAGCATGCTTTGCTGGATCTATTGAAAGCATAAAATAAACATAAAACCGCGTCCTGCCCAAGCGAAGCCGCAGCTTTACAGTGCCCGACTTGGAACGAAATGTCACTCTTCTTGACTAGTTCTTCCACTACAGCATTCCTTAAAAGCTAACCACGAAGTGAACTTAGTGGAAGAATCAAGCAGATATACAGAAAATCATATTGATGTCACACTTCATATGGTTTACTCCCTCGCAGGCTTAAAGGGGAAATGAACAGCCGTGCACGCCACGCCGACTTGTTTTAATCAGCCATTCGAGCGCAGCGTCACCCGTGCTTACGCAACCCAGAGGATATGATAAAAAAAACACAGGATGATTCCCATTATGGAAGAATGGGAGGTATGTGTCCAAACATGATCAAACCCTGACAGAACAGCTCGTTTGCATTCATTAGGGGAAACAGCAGTGCATGAAGATCCCTATCTCCATCGAACCAACTCCAGCAGTGGAGGAGTTGGGGTGAAATGTCTCTTCAGGAGACTGCTTTTAATCTGAGGACAAACACAACCCACTGAGACCAACTGGAGACATGTGCAGCTTCTCTTTCAAGTCGGCTCCAGTCTCTTTTCATAAAGATCGTTCAGATCTGGACAGATGTTCTCAAAAAAAAGAAAAAAAAGAAAAAGTTTTCAGTTCTTGAGTAAACCCTCATCATTCTTCATCTCTTCTGAGGGAGGCTGGCTGTTGCCCGTGTCGTGCCCAGAGCTCAGTGGCTTGGAGTTGGCATTTGTTGACCTCTGCCGACGAGTGCCGTTGCCAATGCAGCGCATGAGGTTCTTAAAAGTTGCCCACATTTCCTCATCCTTGTAAGAGTAGATGCAGGGATTCATGACAGAGTTGAGTACAGCCAGGAGCAGGAGCCAGCGCTTTAACTTCATGACGTGACAATTCTCACAGTTAAGGCCATCCATCAGCAGAACCACCAAGCCAGGAGTCCAGCAGATCACAAAGGCCCCTGAAGAGAAAGAAGCAAACTGCGTCATCATCTTCAGTACGTTTCCTTTCAAAAGTGTGTATAATTTTTGCACAAAGGCAGTCTGAAAAGTCGCATCTTCAACATTTTGCAGATGAAACTTAAATAATAAATGTCTTATTATACAGTTATGACAAGACATTTTAGGACATTTATTGTATGAACTAAAATATTGATGAAAATTGTTCTAAAGAGGCGACTTTCAGCTTTGATCCTAGCAAACGAACAAAAGAAACTGCATTAAAGATTGAGGAATTACGTCCTTTTGTTTCCATATTTTAAAACCTTCGTCATGAACAGTTTGAAAAGGCAAAAACAAACAGCAAACAGTCTTCTTTGTTTTGCCTTATCATACTACTTTATCATCAGCAAGTGTTAAATCAGGTTAATCTGGTGTGACCGACTCTCCCACTGCAGATCGTTTCATTTCGTTATCTTTTTAAAAAAAGGGTCATTTTCAGTATGTTTCGGGTCATTTTCAGTGCTTTGGTGTATTCCGCTGAAAGAGCAGAAAGTGTAGCTTTGCACACTTCAGAGTTTATCTGGCTGCTTCTGTCTTCTGGCACATCATCAATGAACTCACTGCCTCTGGAGGGTGTGCATGCTTACGTCATCTCACTGCCTCCGCCATGTTTGACACACCTTTCCCGATGCTTCGACTCAGAACAAGACATCAACAGTTCACTTCTTTCAGAGGAACCGGTACAGCCGAGCTCCGATTCATCTGTCCACACGCCTCTTTAGAGCTGTGTTTGTTTTTGGTCATCTCTAATCTTTCCTTTCTGGTGGTTTTTCTTTACAATACATGCTGCAAACATTCACTTCTCTCTTCTGCAGACTTGCAGGCATTTTTATGTTACTGAGGTCACCGGTGTGCTCCATCTTCTTTTCACACTATGTTAAACTTTAAGTTTGGTTACTCTTATTAATTCCTCTCGTGTGTTTTTTTTTTGTTTGCAGGATGCTGCATTTCACTTGGGCCAGTTCGTGACAATCAATGTAAAGGCTTAGCAAACAGACTGAGGTGAGCAGAGGAAGCAGGAAAATGAAAAAAGATGGTTGCTGAGGTTGTGTGGCCAGAGATGATGCAGGGGTCGGGTGATAGTTACGGTTTATTACTCCAAAATGAAGCCAGTCTGCATTTTTCCATTAGTATCTTCTTGGCATAATAAATGCTGCTGGGCTGAGGGGGCCACTTGTACATATTTCATTTATTTATTTGCTTCTGCCCGACCTTACGTCACGATCGGACCTACATTAACCAGAGGTTTTCAGCAGACGGTAAACATAACCACAGCCTGTAGATTTTTGGATGCTCTGTATAAACATTCAAACTTCCACCCGGTGCCCGATTGCTGTGCACATGTGGAGATCAGGAATTGTGCAGAAGTTATATTTTACACAAATGGAATTATGTGTTAACAAACTGAAGTTAAAGCACAGAATGTAAAAGAACCACGTTGCTTAAATTCAACCTATTCTAGTCGAGAAACAAGTAGACGCAGGTTGGAAACACAATGCCATTATTGTGCTCAGTACTTAACTGTGTGTAGCAGATAATGAGGTGGGTCATGGAGGCACTGAAGCAGCCATCTACTTCAAACATGTTTGGGCACAAAGCAAAGCAACTAAAGCTTTTCTGGAAATAAAACGAACCAACAAGCATCAACCTGTCTGCTCTACTAGAGCATCTCTGCGCTTTATGTCAACAGCAGGAGAAAAACATGTTTTTTGTTTGGGGTTTTTTACAGCTCACCATTTCTTTTGTCAGACAGAGGGGTGTGGGAGAAGGGTTGAGCTCAGCTTTTATTCTAAAACTCAAAAACGAGTTATTTATATGCAGCCCTCTCCCGCCTGAATTTGTTTTCATCATCTTTGATGTCCAAAGTAACGTGAACCAAACTGTAACTGAGATTCCATCACCGTGCAGATTTTGAGGTATTCTACAAGCTCAAACTTTTTTCCTCTTAAATCTCTTACAAATAAAAAGGCTTTAGAAGCCCATGTTTTGAACATCTGCTCCTTTTGCTATTCATTTGTCGATTTGTGGTTACGCTTAAAGAATGAAAACAAATCTGCCGGGAGTATTACGATGCTTCACTTCAAAAGCAGGCCCCAACACACTGGGATGTGCTACATTTAAACAGATGGATGCTTAAACTACAACAACTGCATGCTGACAAACTAGTGCCATGAAGCGCAATTATGAAAAAAGAAGAAGAGTGATTCCTGACGCTTACTTGTTTTAAATTTGAGTGAATTTATTGTATGAAGTCGGAAAGATTATGAGCAAAAAAACAAAACACCCTGAAAACAATCTTCGAACCTGTTACAGGCCGAACACTGAGAGAAAACAGGGACAGCTGTTGTTTCCTTTTACTTCTAAAGGACAGTTTATGCATTAGCATATTCATTCTTTGGTGACACAAAGGCCATAGCATTTCAGGTCTTTCTGCAATCAGTTATTTTACTGCTTTTAACAAAGCATGTGTGCTTCGTACGCATTTCTGAACTGGTTTGCCCTGCTGCACAAGCAGTTTTCCCTTTACCTTGGACCTGACTCCATGCCCCACAGGTTTTGATAGTCCAATTGTTTCTTCCATAAGAGCTTCATTAACGTTTTCCCATAAAGCATAATCATTAAAATAATTGTGTTACATACTCTCCAGCTACAGTTTTAAGTAAGTAAGTTTCTGTGTTAACTGTTGAAGCTTATTGCTACTGTGAGCAGCGGTGGAGGGCTTTAGCCCTGTGATAGACAGGAGATTTATACCATATCTCGCCCTATGAAAGCTGAGATAGGTTAAGAGGAAGAAGGAAATCAACAGATAAATTAACATACTGAAGGGACGAACCTACACTTGTGTGATTACACTTCAAGCCATGGAGAAGTGCATCTGAAAGCAATCGCCGAAGTCCCCGAGTATAGCTTCTTTTTCTTTTTTCCCTTTTTTGGGTAGGGAGGAGGGGACGTTCACTGAAAACCAGTGCGGTGTGGTGGATGGTACGCCACACAGGCTGTGAAGCAGTGTCCTTGCAGGAAGAGATAATTACACAGCCGTCTGCAATAAAGTGTCTAAACAGACAAACATCTTCTACACTACATTCAGCACTGAGATATCTGCCCGTGTGAGCTGAGAAAGATCAACGCCGGACCATTTCTCTGTGGTGTGACGCTTCAACCTTCTCTTTTATCTGAAGAGCACACAAAACAAAAAGCAATCACACTGAACGCTGAGGAACTCGTCTGACCTGCAGCGCTATCAGAGATGCATCAGTCCGGCCTGCATTCCTAGCTTTGGTGACTTACTATACATAGACTGTGTTATACAGTTCTGTGCAAATGCTTCGAGTTCTCTTTTAGTTTGTCTTTGGCTGCTTTTTCAATCAGTTCATTCCAGTCCTCGTACCTGACCATTTTCAAAGGAATGTTTTGTTTATTAAGCCAACTAACACTGAGGCAGCTAACTCAAGGGATAAACGATTGTTGTGTCTGCTAAGTTTTCTGCTATGCATAAAGAAGCTATTTTAAATTGTATCTTTAGGCACTTTGTTGCCAACAGCCTGTCACAAAAACTGTTTATTCCTGAACTGAATCTGTGTAAAATAACAATGATAACGCAGTTTGACGGACATAAAATGGTATGTTTGGACCACAAAGGTGATTTACTAAGAGCTGTTAGCTGGGGGGAAAGGATGTGGTGTGGAGGAGAGAGGTGCAGCAGCGAGTGTCTACAGCCATCTGTAAAACACGGAGGCTCTGCCATGGTTTAAGGCTGCCTGTCAGTCAATGGTGTTGGGAATCTTGTCAAGATGTCAAAACACTTTCAGATTTTGATCAACCATTCAACCATCTGGAAAATATCAAATTGGCAGTGACGTACTTGTTATCTAAAACATGCTGCCAATGCAGCAAAAGCATACAAGCATAGAACAGCACACAATGGCCGCCCCAGAGCCTCAAACAAAAGGCATCTTCCAAAGAATAGCTTCAAATGACCTTCAAAGTCTGGTGAACTATTCCTGAAGACCATTTAAAGGAATGACAAGCGAGCTTGTCTAAGAGAGTTCAGGCTGTGCTGAAGAATAAAGGTGGTCATACCAAATAATTAACTGTTTTTGACTCGTATTCTAAATCTCTGTGCACGTTTGCACACGTTTCAATGAATTGCCGCCCATTTTCTAAGCCAAATGTACAGACGTGGGGGGTGGCTCAAGACTTTTTCACAGCACTGTACTTAAAACAGTGTAACTTCCAATGGTCTGTAGTTGCACTGCAGTAGAATATCCTTGTACACTCCTATTGTACCGTTTACAATAGAAAGCACTGGTCTGATTTTATTACTGAGCCTCTATTGAAAGGTATCCTCTTGCAAAACGCCAACAAAGGGAGCCAAGTAATGATATCCGAGGCCCTCGTCTAAGATGAGTCAACTGAGAAGGGGAGAAGGTATTATGACAAGCGTTGTCCCACTAAATCATGAGTTTATGTGCCAGCGGTTAAAAAACAAGAGGTATTTCTAAACACTCTGAGGCGACAGCTTCTCAGACATGAGGGCACTGAATGGCTGCTGTTTGGGCGAACAAAGCTAATATTTTTTTTGCCCCTTTTATAACTTGCTTTTCCATCTTGTCAGGAACATCTAGATTATAATCAAGTATCTTCAGCAGAGACTCTAAATTGTTTCTAAAGTTTGTGACAACTTTAAAAAGCACAATAGTGTTTTTATGATCCGCTGATCAGCGATACTCCTCAGGGAACTACTTTATGAGTAGCACCTACCAAGCACAACCAAGACCGTCTTCATGAGCTTCATGGGTGTCCTCTTGCGGTTGATGGAGCCGGAGGTGTGTGGCATGAGCATCGCCGTCTTCTTTTTAACGTAGGCGTAGATTCTCAGGTAGATGGACACCATGATAAGGAACACCACCAGGTTGGAGACAGACCAGAAGATCAAGTAGCTCCTGCTGAAGATGGGAGCGAGCTTGGAGCACGTGTTCAGGTTGCAGATACAGTTCCAGCCCAGACTGGGCACAGCCCCCATGAAGATGGAAATGGCCCACACCAGCACAATAAGCAGCGTCACCCTCCTCTTCGTCAGGTTGCTATGAACTTTCCAGCTCATAACAGATATGTAGCGCTCCAGAGCTATGACTAGCAGGTTTGCCAGTGAAGCTGAGAGACTGATGTCTAGAAGACCTTGGCGGATGAAGTAACCAGTGACAGTAAGTTGCCGTGACACCTCGCCCGTGTTGAACATGAGGTACACGTACGCTATCCCTGCGAGGAAGTCCGAGGCAGCCAGGTTGGAAAGGAGATAGTAGAAAGGATAATGAAACCTTTTATTGGTAATGACAGCAGCTATGACCATGACATTGGAGACCAGGATGAAACAGCAGAAGATGGAGCCCACAACCTGGACCAGGATGAGCTGAGTGGTGTCCCATTTGTCATCACCTCCGCTCTGGTTGTAAAAGAACTTCATCGTCTCATTGTAATGACAGGTGTTCTGTTCGGCCATTTTAAAAGGCAGGTCTGTGAAATGAGAAAACCAAGACGTTAAAAGCAGAACTTTTCATTATCCATGTCAATACGATGGACTCTTTAAACCTTTTGTCTCATGTTGCATCTATGCAGTCTTAGTCACCAGCTATAAAAAGCACAACTCATTAATATCATCTTCTACAAATTTGTTGTGATGAAATCTCTAGACTGAGTTTTTTCTCTCCCCCTAAGCCATAGGTGTCAAACAATTACATTTGGCCCGTGAAGCCACATCAAATGACTATCAGAGCTGGCCTACTATTATACAGCTAATATATATATTGTTTAGTATTAAGCTTTGCTTGTTGCATATTCAGTTTTTCAGCAAAACATGTTTGAGTCCATAAGAAAAGATTCATTCTTAAATCTGGAGGAATAAATATATTTCAATAAATATTAACGTTAGCCCGCGACTTTGTTCCAGTTTTGAATTTTGGCCCACTGTGTATTTGAGTTTGACACCCCTGCCCTAAGCCAAGGAAGAGATTCATTCATTTGACTCCAAGACGCACACAGCACAGCCTGTTTACCGGAGCCGCTCTGATTGTACAAAACTAAACTCACAGTAAACCCTCATTACTAAAGCTGAAGGGCATGGCCATATATTAAAAAATCAGAGTGAAAATCATATGGACCCCATCTGAAAGTTCCATGTATGCAAACATTTCTTAGGGTAAACGCTGCATACATGGTAATAAACCAGAGTTGACTGTAACACGGTGCAAGGTACACTTTTCTTCATGACTCCTTTGTTCACTCAAACTTTACTACAACCGGTCCGACTTGGAAACCAGTGGGCAGCAAAGCCAGGGGAGGAGATTCTAACAGCGGGACAGACAAATGATAAGCACTTGGAGAAACCACAGAGAAACTAGTCAAAACTAATAAGAAGCTAACAAAAAAGGCAATTACAGGAGATCGAGCAGAAGGGAAAAAGAGCCAGGTGGGTTTACCTGTGCGAAATGTTTGTCCTTTGTGCGTCAGCAGACTTAAAGTTGCGAAATCCTCAGTTGGACTTAATGAACATGTTTCTCCTGTAGCGCTGTGCGTCCTCGGCTGAGGACGGAGGGAGGTGACTTCACTGCGCCGCTGCCAGGACAGAGTGAGAGCAGAGCGTCTTCCTCCCCAGGTCTCAGCAGCGTGACGCAGAGGGCGTGAGCGTGGAGCCACCCACGCTCACTGCTGTATTCTTTGCACGAGACCCCGCGAGCGCACGATGACCAAACGAAACCGATAACAAGTCAGTGATCTGAATGAACCAGAAGTTTATCAGCTAGACTACGTGACAGCTGCGGATACAGTTACATCTTAACAGTGTGACGTCTTATTCGCGTTTTCAGTGTGAATAATGAAACATTCTAACTTTTTGGCTTTTAAAATCAGTCATTTGGATCCCTGTCACTTTTAACATGTCCATGAATTTTTACCAGGTCATTCACAAAAACATTTCTCCTTTAAACTCATCTGGTTTCATTCCTATAAGCATCATAATATGTGACGTTTAACCTGTTTTTTTAACCCTTGCTCATCTAGTCTCATATACACTGGAACCGTAGCGCTGGAAGGACTCCAGCTCCTAGACTGAGCTACAGAAGACTATGTGCGGTAGCTAGAAGCAGCTCCACCTTGAACAACAATACAACCACTTAGCATTAATAATAAATATGTCTGATAAAATATTAATTACAGGCGAGGCATTTTTCCTGCATAGGCACTTTTCTTTTTGACACAACAGCATCTTAAACTAGTTTTAATGCAACTTTACTTGAGTCAGAAAACTGATTAGAGTCAGCACTGAAAAAAGTTGAAACCAATTAACCAGCAGCTTAGCACCATTACCTGATTTTCTGGTAAATCGTCCTTGGAAGGGATTTGTTCCTTTGGGGTTTCGAGAAGCAGGCTCAGGTTATCCAATGGCCATTCAGGGCCTGTGACCGGGGTTCTCGTAGAGATGGGGCCCCAACCAAGAGGCGCATAAAAGAAATACCAAACTGTATCGACTTAAACGTTAGATTTTTAAACCATATTGTCTTGTTTATATCATACCAGGATGGCATAATTGGTAAAATATAGTAGTATGTATTTTTCCTGCCCCTTTTCTCCCCTACAATGCCGATGCTAGTAGGCTCTCCCAAAGTTAGACATCCTGTGGACCAGGTACTCCCAAACCCATGGGCACAATAGAGGAAATGTGAATAAATGTGTTCCTGACTCATTTTTGTAAATAATTCTGGATGAAAAGCTTTCAGTGAAGTTATTGAGATGTCAGTTAGATGACATGCAAGCTAATCACAATGGATTGATGAGCTGAAACCTTTAGCATCCAGGGAATAGTTTTGTTTTACCTGCAGGATTTTTCCCCCAACAAAAAAAAAAAAAAGGTCCTTTTTCAGTGGACACATGCCAAACGTGCCTTTTCCCAAGAAAAGCTCTCCGTTACAACAACGAACAATCATCCATGACCGAGATTGGCAAGAATCTCGAGGGTTGTGGTGCGTTGGGGGCAGAAACCAAGATGAAGATGATAACAGCTGCTTGTGCACGAAAACATAGCATCTTCCTTTTTTTTTTTTTAAAACAATCTCTGGCTGTTTCATTTAGTGTAAGGATAATACAGCTTTTACAAAACTTGTATTTTGATATTGCTTCACTAAAAGGTGCAGTGCTCTCTATTTCAAAACTGTTCTGTGTACATATACGCACACATTCCTGTATGATGCATCTGATTACTGAAGAAAGGGGAAGAGAAGGAGGAAATAAAAAGCAAAACACAAAAATGAGCGAGGGCTCATCAAACATTTTTGTCCAGGGGTCTGTAACTTCATGATCCAGGCACGTTTAACAGTCTGCAGATATCTTCTTTGCCTCATTTGTAAACTAGCTTTGAAGATTTTAAACAGCTGAATGATAAAATACTTAAAAAAATAAATAAAAGGCAACCTATTGGCCAACGTAGTTGAGAAAATGTGGGAGAAATGTGATGCTTTGATCAAACTAGGAGCACAGCTCTGCAACAGAAGTCGTGCTCCAGCTTGTCTTTAACTTTAACCTGCTGGTTTCTACACTGATCGAGCTGACTCATCGTTGTGGTGTGTTCATTCAAAACTAGTCTTAATCACAACTCTGCTGGAAACATGTTTGTGCACTTCAGAGAAAACTCACCCCCCACTCCCACCAGTGACATGATTACATTTAAATTAAAAAAAAAAGAAAAAAAAAAAGGGACAAATAGGAAGATTAGCCTTGCTGCAACCTTTACTTCAACACTTAATAAACTTTAATGTTGTACATTCCCCAACAGCACTCGACCAAACTCCTTGGCCAAATAAACATCTAAGCAGTATTATAAACATACACAATTAATCCAAGCAACCACTTCTTCTTAGTCCCAGTTCCAGCTCCGCATCTTGAGCTCCTGACTCCCGTTCAGTGGAGGAAACTCATTTGGCCTTTCTTATTGCACCTCACGGGATGTTACACGTGTAAATCTACATTCTCCAGGATTTTTTCAGTGTTTCAGCGTTGACAAGTTTGTCTCAGACATGTGAAGTATTGTTCCCAGCATTTTCCTCCCTAAACTGTCTCATCCAGAGGCGGGGCAGCCGTCAGCTGATAAGCATGACATCATCATTTGCTGGAACTCTGTAAGGAGAGAGAGAACTCATAAAACCACCAACCTTTCATCATGACAAACTACAGCATAGGCTACTTTTCACTCGGACGTTCGATTGCGTGGTTAGCGAATGCTTCTCTTTAGAAAGCACCAATACTCATCTTACTCATAAATGATATGAACCAAATTCAAGAAAGAAAAATAGGTGGTTTCTGCTGGTATTCAAAATCAAAGCAAGCAGTGTACGATCTTAAATAATGGCAGTATCCTATTTATGGGACTCCTACATGCTTGTATACGAATGACCTTGCATGTCCCAGGTTTAATCAAATGTGCTCCAGCTTTATTAAAGCTACACAGGTTGTTCAAATGCAGGGTACATGCCATTCTAAATGTAGCTACCAAAGCAACACTGTTATTCCCAAGTGTATCAATATTATGTTGGGATGATACATCCAACTTGTTACACAAGCAGACAGGAATTCTCACTTTAGGGCATAATCTTGCAACACTATCACGGTAATGTTCTTGGGATAATTCCCACACACGCATCATTAAGGCCTCGTTCTCCAATCTGTAATTTCAACTTCACGCAGGTTTGATAGCAACACACAGCAAAGATTTGCACACTTCACTGTATCGAAGTAAACCCACCAAAGAAAGCTGTAAGTTCAAACACTTTGTTTTTAAACAAAAGATAATTTTCCTTCATTTTTATGATCTGCTGTAAGCAGAACATTTTCCAGGATTGGAATGATTGATGATGACGATGAGACCAAGTGAGCAAGGAAGTTGTATCTAATCATTTTGTTGTCAAAGGAGAAAACAAACTTTTATTGCACAAAGGACGAGTGCACGGTGGTGAAGTGCAGACTGCATACAGGACAGAAACAACGACATTATGCTGCTAACATATTTCAGCTCTTTGCAAGCACAGACAGCACGCTAATGCTAAGCTAGCCAAGAACCCAGAGTAAAAGCTGAGTGAATGCTGACCCCAGACCAGCACAAAGACCCTGATCTTCAACAGGTAACAAACTGATGCGCAGTCACTCACTCAGGTTTTTACATTCTTAACTGGTAATTATGAGACGTTTCATGAGGTGTGTGCCCTTCAGGACCTTTTTCAGTGCTACGAATTACTTTCTCCTGGGAGTAAATCAGTAATGTAATGCAATACTTTTCTTAAAGGTGTTCCGTGTTAAATGGTAAATGGCCTGTATTTATATATCGCTTTACTAGTCCCTAAGGACCCCAAAGCGCTTTACACATCCAGTCACACACGATGGCAGCTACATGTAGCCACAGCCGCCCTGCGGCGCACTGACAGTGTTGTTAACGCCAACACTGACCATAACAAAGAGTGTAAATCCCTCCTGCTGACCACACAGGATACAATTAATTTGCATGAATGTAATGTCTTTGATATGAGGCTTAGCGATGGTGGTGACTGTCAAAACGCAGCCAAAGACAAGACATGAATGTTTTCTGTCTGATGATGACAGAGTGCCCCAGGCTGATTAAAAGGACTCCATTCACCTGTCCTGTTTGTAAGATAAACATCATGATCCACACTGACACATTCATATTCCTCAGTACACCAGATTAAAGTGGAGGCTCTGCTCTTTATTTACCAAATGCTACGGTGAGTCATAGTATCGGAGCGCCGCTGACTGCTGCTTTCTTTTTCCTACTCATGCACGTGAAACTCCAGGTGAAGTCTGATCGGCCGGTTCTGAAACTGTAAAGTCTGAGTTGCTGATCTCAGAGTTGATGATGGGAGTCAACATTTTGAGGAATAGGGCCATAATCTTTGACAGACTGCAGCTGATACATTTAAGTCCAAATACTGTTAAGTTTACAACCTTTGTCACACATATACGTTCTATTACATTTAATTGAATTCACAAGAGTCATAATATACAAGAGATAACAAACCTGACGCTTTTGGTAAACAAGTTTTAAATCCAACCCAAGGATCACTTCCCAACTTCCTTTCCAAACAAGGTAACAGATCCAGATGAAATTTCACCCAGTAAGACATTAAAACGTTAACTGAGAACACTGATCTAATTTTTGCTGGGACAGTAAGATAAGGATGCTTGTAAAAAAATGAGATCTAGCCAGGTCAAAGGCTGCAAATGAATGCAATTATATAGTCCGTGCAAATCTACAAGAGTGCTAATAAGAAAACTGAACCAACTTTAAAAGACGGTCACCAATTTCAACAGAGGATGTACATTACACATCAGTACATAATGGCACTGTAACTGAAACTCGACTTCCTTAAACACTCAAGGCAACCAGAGCTGGAATCCCAGGAAAGCTGGGTGATAGAAAACGGCTGACAAACATCCATAAAAAATAAATTAAAATAAAACAACAAGCCCAAAACAAAACCCTCAAAGTCGGCGTGTTAACGTCTGCTGAAACAACGGCTGAAGAGCCCCGAGGGAGGAAACAGACGGTCTAAGCTCCAATGTGTCATCATAACACATACAGCAAAGGAAACTTTTCCCAGTGCCAGGACTTTCCCAACGAGTACACGACTACAGATCATTTTTACAGTGTGTACAAACATTCAAAGCTCTGGCAGGAAAAAAATAACAGTTTGGTGGCAAACGCGAAACAAATGACTACAGTAGTTGCCTTACTGGGTAAACAACATCTCATGCACTCAGTCACAAAACAGTCTCCTGCTTTTGAAGTGGAATGATTGTGATGACGGCTACAGAAACCAATCCTGGTGTCCGTTTACAGCGAAACATTCTCCTGAACAGAAACATCAACTTCACAGTAATGTGCTGACTGTGATGGAGGAAGTGTTGCTGGGAGCAAACGGGGCACTGCGCTGCCGCTTTAAACGATAACGGGAAATAAAATGAAACATTTCTCAGGCCTGTTAAACACTTCATGTTATCAGACAACCGAAAAGAGGTTAAGTAAATGATAAAGAGAGAACACAGTGTGAGGTCGTTCTAATAAAACCACGCACAACAGAGCCGCTAATCCAGTCTCTCCAATGCATTCAAAACTGCTTTCGACTCACCACTGAGCCTTTTCAGCTCATTTTGAGTCACAATGTTTACTGTGACCTGTGCATTCAGGGACATAACACAGTACAGAGGTGCTGGGAGTTTAAGGGGACGGTGGGGGCAGGGGTGTTCCTCAGTGTGGAGGCCCTCAGTTTCTCTGTAATCAGCCCATCACTGGGTGTGTCAGCATAGCTCCCACCACTAATTTCATTGCTCTCAAACCACGTAAGACGGAGCCAAACCGCAGCGTGGAGGAAACTCCGCTGCAGTCGGCTGCCTGCCGATGATGGAGATTGGCTCATGGAAATGGAATGAGAAGAAAACACCGACATACAGAGGAGTACGGTGTCCGTATATCAAGGCGACAAGGTGTAAGCGACACAAACTCTGTTTTCATTTCTGAATGTTACCGTGAATCCTGTTTATTTGTACACGGACTGAAAGGGAGAGTGAGAATGTAACGGCGTTTCCTCGACCTTTCTCTGATCAACTTCACTTTTGACGCTGGTGCCAGCTCTTTTCCGAAGACTTCATGAATCTTTCCCAGGAACAAGAGATGTGTTTCACTCTTGCCAGCGTGACCGTCAGCATTCATGTTAACAGTAACTAAAAGTGACAGTTGTTTTGACCATCAGTTGATTTAGATATTGATTGATGGCCAAGATTTAAGAGGTTAAGACTACATCTTCTTCTCAAGCTAAGACCTAAGTAATAAGCTAAGCCAAGTAATAGCCAACAAGCAACCGTCAAACTATAATAAAATCTTAAATCTCACTGGCTAACAACTCTAAGCAGGTATTTAAAACACAATACCTCTTCTGTTACATTGATGTTTGTAGAGAACAGGTTCCAGGTGTGGCTGAGTGTGTGAAGAGAGATTAAATATTAAACAAGCAACACTGCTGTGAACAGTCGTACCACTGGCAGTAGCAGAGTACAGAGTGTCTGACGCTGACGTCTGTCTGATCGCTCTCCTCTATGTTAGGCAGCTCTGTCGGCTCGTGGAGAAACTTCTGCAGGTCGGTCTGCGGGAACCCATTTTTCTGGTAACTCTGTTAGCAAAAAGAGAAAGTCCAAAATGCATCACATTTAAAGTCAGAAGACAAAACTTTTTCCATGCTAGATTTGAGAAATGCACCCCAATTTAACGCATATTGTAGACTCAAGCCCACAAACAGGTACCGCAATGACTGAAACATGGATTGAGAAACATTGTAACTGGTTTCGTCACATTTTTCTTCATAATTTAAATATAAAATTTGAAATAAAGGCTTTTTATAGATGTGATATTCACTGATTGTTGTCTCCTCTCAGCAAGATGCAATTACATTATTGCCTAAGGGACAAGCAAGACAGGAAGTACGATGTAAGAAGAGCACAAGATGCACTTAACCCCCCCTCTTTTTGTCCTCGACACTTCTCTCCGTCCATCCTGCTGCTTATTTGGTTCATAGATGCCCAGACGCCCCACTCACCTGTCAACCTCATCCAGCCCCTCTGCAGTTTCTTCAGCCCTGAACTATCTGTGACGCGAGCATGCACCAGAAACACCTAACCTAGGATTCATGCAGGGTCACCCAAATGCCCAAGTACCGTTCTACTGAGCCCCTTTTAAATAACTAAGGTCTTCACCCTTTTTAAGAAATAACCCAGACACCCTACTGAGGAAGCTCCTTCTGGCTGCTATCAACAGCTTGTGGCCATGCGTGGGTGGGAGGCATAAAGCACCCAGTAAATTGATGCCATCTCCTCCCATAGCAGACAGCTACAGCATCCTCATTACTGCAGACGCTGCACCAATCCATCTGTCAATCTCCCGCTCATTCCCCGACTCATGAACAGGACCCCGAAGCCACTTTAACTCCTTCAACTTGAAGGAGTTGCTTCCCAACCCAGAGTGAAGACACACTACTTCACTCCTCATATTATTGCACTCGATTTGCACCATCCTTTCTCTTTGTCACGCAGCTAGACTTAACCTGCAACACTGATGTGGCATTTGGTTGAAGAGTGGCAATCTCACACAGGGACGTCCCTTTTTTGTGGTTCTGTCAGAAGAGATGTGAACATCCCTTTTGTCTTGCTGGCAGAAAGCTCAAAGTACAGTAAGGATTGTTGTTCAGTTTTAGTCCACATTTTCCAGCCTCCTGTCAGGTCTAACAAGATCCAAGAGTTTAATTGACAAAATGCCACAGTTTTCAAATGACTCGCACTCGGTAACGTAAGTACCTTGATGGTCTCATAGGCGTCGGTTATAAGAGCGATAAAGAGCGACAGCACCATGTAGATGAACAGGGAGATGAAGGAGTACAGGTAAGCCCGACTGAAGAGCCACACCAAGGTGTTTTTGTCCTTAAGCTGGGCGAAGGTGGTGAACATGTCGTCTCCATTCAGCAGAGAGAACAGGCACTCTGCCACAAGACTCAGGCCCTCAAACTACAGAGAAAGAGGGAAATAACAGTGCAGTGAGCAGTTAACAAATCCACAGAAATCTGAGATTTCCTGGAAAACAAAACAAATGAGATGGAAAGAAATTTGTTACATTACTGCAGCTTTTCTTCCTTTAAAAAAAAAAATTATACATTTGGTCTGTAAAAATGCCATAAAATACAATTTAGTGTTAATCACCAGCTTCAAAAGAACGACATGACATTATTTTATTATTTTTCTTATAAATTGCAAGTAAAAATTCTTCACACTGAAACACTGTTTTGATCTTTTAAGTAGCTGATGTAACAAATGACAATGAGTAAGTCTTAGGTCGAAACCCAGTTTATCACAGGAAGACGAGTCACAGATTATTACCATCAACATATTAAACAGGCAACAGAAGTGTTTCAGTAAACAGCCTGAATGCTCAGGTATAGGTCAGCTTCACTGTGTTTTGATCAGAGATTAAAGAAAACTTGGAGTTTCCAAAAGTACTTGGTTGTACTAAAAGAAACGCTGGACCTCGCAGGCTTAATAATAAGACAACGAGTTTGTCTAAAGACTGATAGGAATGACGCAATAAAGGAAAAAAGGGAGACCGTTGGTTGAAAGAACCAATCAGAAAGCCCGACACAAAACAGAAAGAAGTCATGTTCCACAAGAATGAGATAAGATCTAAAAACAACATCACTCTCAGACACTATGGATCCAGATGACAGCACTTGAAGACGTGTGGAACGGCAAGCCGCAGGTCATCCCCTGCTGATTTCCTTCTGTAAATAACCTGAGGATCCTGGAAACACTTACAGGTCACTACGGGGGACTCCCCGAAACATCGCAATATAAATATAAAAGTCTCCGTTGACTGCATCGCTGCGCAAACGTAAAGAACTGTAACACGGCTGACGTGAAACGCTGGCATAGCAGAGCTGGTTGCACAAATGGTAGTCGGGTAACAGTTTGCTTTTCATGTGGGCCTGATAAGAGTCTATTTCACTGTTAAACAGAGAAAAGTGTACTTAACAGCTAAAATGACCTGCTTGAATGCCTTCAGTGCACCAACCGTACGGATGCTTTGTTAGTTCCACAGACGGGCATTCCTAAACATGGGAGGTAGTGAAGTGACATAAAGGCAAACACAAAAATCAGCTCACAATATATTTACAGTAGTTACTCCTCTTCAGCACAAGATTATCAACAATTTAGCCAGTGAGAGGCAAGATGTGAGGCAGCTGTTCTCAGGCTTCCCCACATCTGCCTCTGCAGATTAGGAGCTCTGCCGTGTTTAGACGCCTACTTCTGCTCAGACTTCCGTAAATAATTGATCTTAACAAGCCAGAACAGCTAAACATACAGATCACTGTCTGGGGAGCTCCCAGTTAAGGTTAGAGTTTCTCAGGATTTTAAGAAGTGCTCCAAATTTTGCTCAAGTCCAGCTGTAATCTCCACAAATTCTTAAAACATGAGCCGCTCAACTTTGTTTCTCACTTGTATGCATACATTTGGAGGAAACTGCTTCTTGTAGCCTCTTTCAGTTTGAGATATTTGCTCTGTTTCGGGGCAGTTGGCCCAAAACTGAATGTGGCACAATTCTGTTGCTAATCATCAACCATTTGATTCATTCCTCAAATGGTTGATTCATCCACGCATATGCACACACATCAGTGTACAAATGAATGTGTTATGAATGTGGCAGCAATCACTGTACAATGTTCAAAACCTGGTCACCAATGAAGCAGCGAACAGCAGCCAGTGAAGCAAAACAAGCATTATCATGCACTGACACCTAGTGGCCGTTTTATTTAGAGAGTCTTATAAATACACTGAACTCTAGTTGCTCCTGTACAGGGAAGCCAAAGGCCATGTGTACACTTTGTTCAGTTTGAAGAGCAACATGCTGAAATAGCAATTTGAAAGAAAGAGCTTGGAAAACCTGATGGAGAAGTTAAGATTTAACTTCTCCAAGTCCAATCTGACAGTCATCATAAAAAGGAAAGTATCGTACAACCACAGTTCCAAAAAAGTAAATAAAAAATAAACTGTCAAATAAACAAATCACTGATTTGCAAATCTCATAAAACTCATCAAAATCAAACTTTGAATATCTCATCTACAGGTTATCAAGAGTCTGAATCTGGGACACGATCAACAACAATCACCTAAAACACTACCGTAAGTCCGTTTTTTAAAAGATGTGCACTTTTGGGAGTTCCTCAATTCAATATCTGCAGCGTCAGCAACATTTCATGAGGAAGAAAAAGAAGTCTGGACTGTTTCCCCTGCATCTCTGTCACACCCATCACAGTGATTTCCTCAAAACCAGTTAGAAAGTTACCTTCTCGTGGTACGGCCCCAGTACAATCCAGCCACAAAAAGTATAGCCGAGGTAGATCATGCCAGCACAGCAGCAGAAACGCAGGACCTTGGGAAAGGCTGCCTTCATGGTTAGGATCAGCACCTAAACTTGGAAGAAATATACTGTTTAAGTGAATTTTAAACCTTATGAGACAACAAATAAAGATTTATGTGAGAGTGGAGCGGACTGATACAGGTCTACACATGTGCATGATGAGAATTAAAATAAATATATCATTCTCACAGCATATTAATACAAGTTTCTCCATCACTGTTGCATTAAGCTTAATGTGATGAGCTCCTGCTTAATATTTTGCTCATTGAAAGCTCTCACATGAAACAGACTTCAAACTCTGAGATCATAAATGTAGAACATTAATGCCTTACATCAGTCGTGCCGAGCATGGACTCACATTGTATTTCTGGAAGTATCCCAGGTACCTGATCACTCCAACCCACACCAGTAATGTAGACGTCCCCAGGAAGATACTGCACACGTCATAATTTGTAAGGTTCTACAGAAGAGAGCAGAGAAAGCCCACGATTAGGGATGAAATCATAGTTCTAGAAAACTCTGCTACATAATTACACACAGTATACATAAGTTATATTACAGTAAAGCTGGTTTTGCTGTATGATTGCAGTAAATGACATAGTCTGGGTGATTATTTTATTAGGGTTCAAAGTACAAAGTGAAGCCAAGGAACGATAAACCTTAACGTGCTTTAATGCTTTAATGCATGTGCACTGAGAAGAAAACTACAAATGTAAACTGCAGGTTTCTTAAAGGACAGCTTCACTGATTTTGCAATTTCTGATTGTGTCCAACTGCTCAAAGTTATTATCAACGTCCGAATCACAATGCAAAGTGTCGTCAGTCACGTTGAAATTTGGTTTGGAATTTAAAGTTTGATTAAAGGTCCAAACTGTCCTTTATACGTCTAACGATGTAATTATAAGATACTAAAACCGAACTGGTGAATTAATGCTGCACTCAGACAACTTAACCTCCGCTGAAAAGTTATTGTAGCAAATAATAGTAGAGCTTCACCTGCAGTGATAAATTAAACAAAAGAAGTAAAGTTGGGCATAAATGAGTCTAACTCTTTAAAACGTAAAACACATCGGTGGATATAAATAAAACATTAAAATAATGAAATATGATAAAAATTTGCCTACACACTAGAGATGGCACGATACCACTTTTTTATGTC